CCCCCCCCCCCACACACACACATTATGTAGGTCTACGCGAGTAATTACTGACCGTCGGTACACTCAAATGCAAAAGCCAACAAGGAAGGGAGCGCATCATTCCAATACATAACTTTCCTTGTACTAATTTTTCCGAGTAAAACCAAAACGTGATCTTCACGTTCATTCATTTGTTGAGAAAAATGATGATTGGAGTCAAATTATTCTTTACCCCTAAAACTATATAAATTTTAAGTCTGCCTTTTTGAGAAGAATATGAAAAATAAAGCGAATTATACCTTTCTTAATATAAATAGTCCTTTCCAGAAATACAGTCAAAACAAAAATGCAATACGTTGAGAAACAACGTTACTATAACAAACCATGTGGACATCGACAGCTGATGTATATGACGCTGACGTACAGTAAGGTGTAGCCTGGTACACGGATTCAAATGTCGGAGAGATACGATTCTTGTGTGATCTGTGACAGCCATATGTTGTATGTTCCCTCTAGCAAAAGCTTGATAATATTGTTTATTTCAGGTATGTTCCAAAACATGGTCCAGATTTCCAGAAAGTACGAGTCAACTTTTTGCTTTTGGAAAGGATATGAACTCTTCGTCTTCGTCCAAGACGTCAAGCATATCGCGGTAAGCTGCCAGTTACATTCCTAGATTTATGTGAAGATACTGCACAGCTGAAGTACAAACGCAAACTGGGGTTCTCCAGACAGCCAAATCGTGTAGAGAGGCTGTTTGTTGTTACGGAAACCATCATCTCTAGGGCTATCCGACAAGAAATGCGGCCACACACATACATTAATGGGACACACGATAGCGTAGTTGCTTGAGGCACTATGTTACAGGCCTTAAGGTCGCAGGTTCGAGTCCCGATTAAGTAATCGGATTTTTCAGTTGACCTAATCCATCCAGCCGCACCATGCAGCTGGGGTGAAAAGGGCGGCCGGCGTGTAAGGCTGACAACCTCACCACCATCTGTTAGCCGATTGTCTAGAAAGTGTGGGAACTTCGACATCTCACAACCCTTTGGGCCTCAACGGCCTGTTACAAGAACAGCTTTACTTTTCTTTTTACATTTTACGCGTACATTAACATTGTTACTACTAGCACAAGATATGAGTGTCCTCTCCTGATATTACAGTACGGCTCTGAAGGTTATCCTCGACCAATGGAAGCGAGGCAGTGCAGGGTGAAGACCGGCTAGGGTGCACTCCATGTTGCAGTATAAAACCATTCCCAGCGGATTCTGTGAAGTTTATTAAGCTTAACTCCGCTGCAGCCATCCGTTTCTGGCAAAGGTAAAACTATCCTCATAGAAGGCCGAAAAGACCCGTACTGTTGTGAGACGTCGAGGCTCCCACATCTTCTAGACCAGGGTCCTCCAAACTTTTCGAACCGCGGGCCACATGAAGTAATTCAGCACTTTCAACGGACCGGATAAAATGAGAAATTAATAACTCTAGGTATATGAGTTTTATTGAAAGCACAGGATTTCATAAACTAAATACAAAGTACGTGAGAATAAATTATCGTATATTAATGACAACAGACAGTAGCAGCAAATGCTCATATTTTCATCACAAATTATAATAAAACAATTAATGTGAATGATGGAACTCTTTTTGCATTCTTAAAATCTATTTAATTGAGGTTCAAATTTTGAAACGCTAATCAAAACTAGCGACTTTAAATGTTCATCTGATAAATTTGCCCTGTATTTCGACTTGATGTACTTCATCTTGGAAAAAGTTTGTTCACACAGATATGTCGTCCCAAAAATTCAGATAATTTTAGAAGCAAATTTCTTTAATCTTAATTCCATGCATCCTGCTGTGCTACAATATACAACTCTTTAATGAACCGTCACAACACAGCAAATAGTAAAACATCAAAGTCAGCGTACAGCTGTGGCTTTGCTACATGTTTCGGCCACTATCGGCCATCATCAGGCAAATACATATCAACAAAAATCTACCATTTAATTGCAATCATAAAATGGATATAACACTATTAGTCGTATAATTTTAAAATTGCCTATGTAAAAATACAAAAGTTCAGACTATATAAAAATTAAAAATTGGAAGTATTGATTGATTGATTGATCAGTAATCTGTCAGATGACAGGTCCACAGTCTCTTCCAAAACAGTTCCTCCACTTAATGTGATCTTCTGTTTTTGGAAAGAGACTATCCAGGAAATGTGATAATGTGGTAGTTTTTCCATTTGCTTTCCACATCGCAGTACAACAGCCGTTCAAACCACTCTGGTCACGCCTGTTGCTATACGAACTTGAACCATCTCGAGCATCATTTGTTCTGTGCTTCAAGTCGCTGCTGATGACGCTGCTTC